TTCACCGTAGCTACAGGTGAACAATTACGCATTGATCGGGTTGTGACGGGATTGACGCTGTGGTGCGGACATGCACGTTTTTCCGGGGACATTTTAGTGGGAACCGTTCCCTACGACTTAGTCTTGGTATTGGCTGACGGAACATAAGGTGGCCTGGTATTTTCAGTCAGACAAACTCCGAACCTATGTGAATGGCCAGTGGTGCGAGTTACCGGTCGTTCGGACTGGTGAAGCAAAGCTGCAAGGTAGTCCACCCAAGGACCCCGGCAGAGCAAGCATATGAGATATTGGCCAAACAAGTGGCGGGTATGTCAGCCGAGGAGGCAGCTATATTCCTACGCCCGCCACCAAGCAGGTATAAGTCCCATGCGAAGACTAAGGCGAAGGGACGGAAAACGTGGCTCGTTCGTCAGGCGGCGGCTGATACAAGGAGTGTCAGGGCTCCATTGAACGGTTTGCATCTCATACTGGCTTTGCCCGAAGCCGGTTCGGCGGTGCCCCTAAGGTTCTCAGATGAATGGCAAGGCGCGCTTTGTTGCGCGTTAATTGGGAATCAACCCACGTCCTCCGGCTGGGGTACTTCTTTGGTCTCAATCGCCTCGGTGGCAGCAGAGAGTGACGAGGAGTCTCCCTTGACCTATGGTGAAACTCGAGCACACACTGTTCGACGAATAGATAAATTCGACAGAGGCGCAGGATATTCCATGTGAGATTGCCCAGGTGTTGCACGAGTATCGAGCGGTTTTTCCCGATACCTTACCTAAGGGATTACCGCCGAAACGCCCTCATGATCACCATATTCTACGTGTGCCTGGAAAACTTCCAGCGAAATTTGCAGTATACCCTATGACCCCAGATCAGCTCACATTCCACAAACAGGAGCTAGCTAAATTATCGGACAACGGTTGGATCGGACCGACCTATTCGCCTATTTGCTCTCCTACGATCATGGTAGACAAACGTGATGATGGCTCCGGGGAGCGGAAGGTGCGCATGGTTGTCAATTACCAGGCTCTAAATGCCCTTACGATAGCCCCTGATTTTCCACTACCTCCCATTCAAACCATTCTAGAGATGCTGGGAGGCGCCAAGTATTTTTCGACTTTGGATCTTGAAGCAGGATTCCATCAAATACGTGTGGCTAAGGAAGACCGTTGGAAGACGGCTGTAGTGAACAGCTGGCCTACACTGTTACTACGTATGGTCCCTGGGCTAGTCTGGCTAAGTGCACACTCTGCATCTACTATCTAAAATCCATGATTTCCGCCAACTACTGCTGTATACCCTAAATGGCCATATACAACTGAGTTCATATTATTGAGAGGTGAGAAAAACCCAAAATAATAGAACTGACTGTTGACCCTCGCTGAGGGTCAGTGCCTGAGTCACGGCACCAACCTCGCATCCAGCCCCATACCCGGTGCTGGCTAGCGAGCACTCTATTCCCTTTTATGATTTCCTAATATCCAATGGTGCCTTATGCCTTAAATTATTCTATATTATGCATGCCCTTTCGCGTTACTAAGCCTCGAGGGGTGGCGACGAAGGTCAATTGTAGTGCCTGGCACTACAACGGCTTTCCGGTCCGTTCTTGGACTATTCGAGTACCGAGTAATGCCCTTCGGCCTTAAGGATGCCCTCGCTACGTTCCAGGCCAATATTAATGCCTATCTACAACCTTTTTTGGGACAGGGCGTTATTGCGTACCTAGATGGTGTACTTATCTATAGTTCTGATCTCTCTGGGCACGTTTCTCTTCTGCGACAAGTCCTAAGCATTTTTCTTAGACACCAGTTCTACCCAAAATTCCGCAAATGCAAATTTGCAAGGCAAACAATTACTTATTTGGTTTATACCATTTCTCCTACGGGGATCAAACCCGCAGAAGATAAAATCGCAGCCATCCGGCATTGGCCAGAGGTGCTGGAGAACGAAACGCAAGTGCGCCAGTTCCTCGGTCCCATAAATTACTGTCGCATGTTATGGGACTGGACTATGCACACGTTGCCCGGCCGCTGGTTGATCTAACGCGTAAAGACGTCAGTTCCGAATGGACAGAGCTTCATACGCAAGCGGTGCGGCAGCTCAAACAGTGCTTAATCGACTTCACTACAATACAAGCCCCTGACACGACGAAACCCTTCGAGTTATACACAGACGCCTCTGGTAATGCGATCGGAGCAGTTCTGGAACAAGACGGCAAACCCATCGGCTTCCTCACCCAAGTCATGAACCCCACGCAACAGAGATACTCGATCTACGATCAGGAACTCTTAGCGTTGGTCATGGCACTGGACAAGTGGTCGCACTTGCTCCGTGTCTCCAAGGTAACAGCTTACACTGATCATCAAGCTCTCACCCATCTCCAACGACTCCAAGCATCGAAGCCTCTGCGCGGACGCACCGTCCGGTGGCTAGACTTTCTTGCGGAGTTCCCGGATATGCACATCACTTGTGTTCAAGGAGCGCGCAATCAAGTTGCTGATGCCTTGTCTCGCCTTCCCGGTCTTCCTAACACCTGCTCGCACGACACACCATCGGTACCACTGATGCTCGCAATAGGACAAGCGAGCGAGGCTCCCCGATCTCGTGGTCGGCCTACCAACTACAGGGAGCTCGCTGGAATTCGTTCGCGACGGCCCAGACGACGCAGCCTGCCTTCTGCACCTTCCCACACGCTGCCGGAACCAAACCCAGAGGCGGAATGTAATGCGCGGCGCCTACTACTGCGACTACGCTACCTCCTGCTCCTCTAACAGGTCTACATACTACGCCTAGTATAGCCCCATTTCTCGGTCTCCATAGCCTTATTCCATCGAAATACGACAATTCTTAAAGTTTTTTTAACTGTCTCATCGATTCGCCCCCTTCTCGGAGCTCACCTCGTAGGCCCTATGGGGAGGAGGTCCGCATTGGTGCCGGCGCTTTCGCCAGCCCCAGTCTCCACACAATTTCCGCACATTTCACGTATTCATTAGAACTAATAGACGGTTTTTCTTATTTTCTATCCTCCTGGGAGGGTTCTGTCCTCCTCCAGTGTCGCGACCCCTTGTAGGTCGCTAGCTAACTATCATCTCTAGGACACAAACCAGCCCCATTGTAGTGCCTGTGCATTACAACTTCCCCCCCTATCGGACTGAAAAGACCTATCCCAAACACATTATTTTTGCCTTTGCAATCTCTGTGCTCTTCTACAGCTGACGTCGTGAGCGCACGCGGTGCCCAGCGCTCCCTCCCCCATCCCCATTGGAGGGTGCCCGTGCTGTAGGAGCTGGAACGTGGCGGACCCGTATGTCTACGCCTCGGAAGGACCCAAGTTGTTTCGAGCCTGAAGACGTCTTCGTTGGCGGCGGCGCCAAGCGCGAAGCAAGGCCGGACAGCCTGTAAGGTGATGAGCTGGATCCCACGTAGCTTGATCTTCAGGGATCCCGCGCCACTTCACGAGGTCCTGAGCTGCATCTCCCGAGCCGCGTTGGTCCATAGTATAGTCGACTTCGTACTCCTCTGTGGGATTGCCTGCTGCATCGTGGATAGAAGGCCAGGCAGCATCGGCTGCCGAGGGAACCAAAGCGGGAGGGCGGGGACGGTGAGGAACTATGTAGTGCGCGGCGCCTACTGCTGCGACTAGGCTGTTTCCTGCCCCTCTACAGGTCTACGTACTACACCTAGAATAGCCCCATTTCTCGGTTTCTATAGCTTTATTCCGTCGTAAAACGACAATTCAAAAGGTGTCTCAAATCTCCCTGTTCGATTCGTTCCCTTCTCGGAGCTTACCCCCTAGACCCTAGGCGGGGAGTTTCGCAGTGGTGCCGGCGTTATCGCCAGCCCCAGTCTCCACACGATTTCCGCACATTTCACGTTTTCACTAGAACGGACTAACGGTTTTTATTATTTTTTCATGTATTGGGGGGGTCCTGTCCCCCTCCAGTGTCGCGGCCCCTTGCAGGTCGCTGCAAGGGGCCGCGACACTGCTATCATCCCTAGGACACTAGTCAGCCCCATTGTAGTGCCTCGGCACTACAAACTAGCTGCGAAACGTGGAAAACGTCATGGCATGCATACGTGGGAGGCAGAGCGAGACGGTAAGCAACAGCTCCTATGCGTTCGATGACTTCGAAGGTTCCACGGTAACGGGGCTCGAAGTTAGGGCAGCTGTTGAAAGGCGGTAGGTGCTTGCTGCTGAGCCAGACCTTGTCTCCCACCGCATACTCCACTGCTCGGCGCTTTGTACATAGTACTTCTGCTGCCTTTTGCCTTCAGGATGTGACTCTGTGCTCTGTCGCAGAGCTGTCGGAAAAGCTTAGTCACCGAAGGAGTGAGCGTAGGAGCTAACGCGCCGACGATATCAAGGTCCGCAGCAGTCAATGGGTTCTTTCCAATCATGACCTCGAAAGGAGAGAGCTCAGTGGATGAATGACTTATGGTGTTGTAGGCAAGTTCCAAGGCCGGAAGCAAACGCTCCCACTCGCGTTCGTCAAATTGGATATAGGTACGAAGCATCTGCTCCAGTGTGCTGTTCACCCGTTCAGTTTGGCCGTCGATTTGGGGATGGTAGGGCGAGGACATGCACCGTTTGATGTTAAAGCGGCGGCAGAGCTGGTTCCAAAGATCTGACTGGAAACGAGGGTCGCGGTCCGATACGAGCACCTCTGGAAAACCATGATAGCGGATAAGGCGGTCTGCGAGAAGCTCCACGGTGTCTGCTGCTGTGAATGACTTCTTTGCAGGAACGAAATGAGCCATCTTGCTAAGGGGGTCGACCATGACAAGGATCGAGTCCTGCCCTGTCGTTGTAAGGGGAAGATCTGTGATGAAATCGAGGCTCACGTGCGCCCATCGACGAGAAGGGATGAGCAACTGTTGAAGGCCTGCAGGCTTCTGGTTAATGGACTTTGATGCGCGACAGTGGGTACATGACTCAAATAAGCGGTAGTGTAGGCACGCATTCCAGGCCAGTAGTGGTGCTTGCTGAGGGCCGCAAAGGTCTTTTTCTGGCCTCGATGGCCGGCTGTGACATGGTCGTGATGCGAATGCAGAACGTGAGTGAGGAACTTGGGGAATTGTGGGACGCAGATGCGCCACAGTCCATGAACGCGGATGTGCAGGTAAGGCTCTACGTAGCGAAAGGTAAATTGGCGATTACAAAACTCAATTTGCAGAGCTTCTCCTGGTTGGTTTGCTGCGGCTTCGTAGGGAACGCGAAAGACAGGACACTTCGAGTACGCTTGCGGCCAATGGCGCGCGTCAGGGGGACCAGCGGGTGCCTTCGTTGTAAGTGTAGGAGGTTCCGGCTCTGGGTTGGGTTCCTGTGGCGCAGGGGAAGGCGCAGACTGCGTGCTGTGTCGTCGAGGGCGGCGCGGGCGAACTCCAGCGAGCTCGCGATAGTTGGGAGGCGGACCGCGAGAGCGGGAAGCCGCGCTCGCCTATCCTGTTGCGAGCATCAGCCGTCCCGATGGTGTGTCGTGCGAGCAGGTGTTAGAGAGGCCGGGACGGCGAGACAAGGCGTCGGCAACTTGATTGCGCGCTCCCTGAACATACGTGATGTGCATATCCGGGAACTCTGCAAGGAAGTCTAGCCACCGGACGGTGCGTCCGCGCAGAGGCTTCGATGCTTGGAGTCGTTGGAGATGGGTGAGAGCTTGATGATCAGTGTAAGCTGTTACCTTGGAGACACGGAGCAAGTGCGACCACTTGTCCAGTGCCATGACCAACGCTAAGAGTTCCTGATCGTAGATCGAGTATCTCTGTTGCGTGGGGTTCATGACTTGGGTGAGGAAGCCGATGGGTTTGCCGTCTTGTTCCAGAACTGCTCCGATCGCATTACCAGAGGCGTCTGTGTATAACTCGAAGGGTTTCGTCGTGTCAGGGGCTTGTATTGTAGTGAAGTCGATTAAGCACTGTTTGAGCTGCCGCACCGCTTGCGTATGAAGCTCTGTCAATTCGGAACTGACGTCTTTACGCGTTAGATCAACCAGCGGCCGGGCAACGTGTGCATAGTCCAGTCCCATAACATGCGACAGTAATTTATGGGACCGAGGAACTGGCGCACTTGCGTTTCGTTCTCCAGCACCTCTGGCCAATGCCGGATGGCTGCGATTTTATCTTCTGCGGGTTTGATCCCCGTAGGAGAAATGGTGTAAACCAAATAAGTAATTGTTTGCCTTGCAAATTTGCATTTGCGGAATTTTGGGTAGAACTGGTGTCTAAGAAAAATGCTTAGGACTTGTCGCAGAAGAGAAACGTGCCCAGAGAGATCAGAACTATAGATAAGTACACCATCTAGGTACGCAATAACGCCCTGTCCCAAAAAAGGTTGTAGATAGGCATTAATATTGGCCTGGAACGTAGCGAGGGCATCCTTAAGGCCGAAGGGCATTACTCGGTACTCGAATAGCCCGAGAACGGACCGGAAGGCCGTCTTCCACCGGTCTTCCTTAGCCATACGTATTTGATGGAATCCTGCTTCCAGGTCCAAGGTGGAAAAATACTTGGTGCCTCCGGGCAGCTCCAGAATGCTTGGAATGGGAGGTACTGGAAAATCAGGGGCTATCGTAAGCGCATTCAAGGCTTGGTAATTGACAACCATCCGCATCTTCCGCTCCCTGGAGCCATCATCACGCTTGTCCACCATGATCGTAGGAGAGCAAATAGGCGAGTAGGTCGGTCCAATCCAACCATATTCCGGTAATTTGGCTATCTCCTGTTTGTGGTAAGTGAGCTGATCTGGGGTCATACGGTAGATTGCGGATCTCGCTGGTAGTTTTCCAGGCGCCAGGAGAATATGGTGATCATGAGGGCGCTTCGGAGGTAAGCCTTTAGGTAAGGTATCGGGGAAAACCGCTCGATACTCGTGCAGCACCTGAGCAACCTCACATGGAATATCCTGCGCCTCAGTTGAATTGATCCATTCGTCGAATAGAGTGTGTGGGAGTTTTGCCATAGGCCAGGGAGACTCCTCGTCACTCTCCGCTGTAACCGAGGCGGTTGAGGCCAAAGGACTACGGCAGCCGGAGGACGTGGGTTGACTCCTTATCAACGCGCAACAAAGCGCGCCTTGCCATTCATCCGAGAGTCTTAAGGGCACTGCCGAACAAGCCTCAGGCAAAGCCAGTATGAGGTGCAAACCGTGCAACGGAGTCTTGAGATCGTTAGTATCGTCCGCCGCCTGACGAACGAGCGACGTTATCCGCGCCTTGGCCTTATTTTTCGCGCGGGACTTGTACTTCTTTGGCGGCGGGCGTAGGAATACAGCTGTCTCCTCGGCTGACATACCCGCCACTTGTTTGGCCAAGATCTCGTATGCTTGCTCTGCTGGAGTCCGAGGGTGGACTACGGTGGAACTATCGCTTTGCAGCGTCGATTCACCCGTCCGAACGACTGGTAGCTCGCACCACTGGCCATTCACATAGGTTCGGAGTTTGTCAGACTGGAAGTCCCAGGCCACCTTGTGTTCCGTCAGCCAATCCAAACCCAAGACTAAGTCGTAGGGAACGGGTCCCACTAGAAAGTCCCCGGAAAAACGTGTATGTCCACACCACAACGTCAATCCCGTCACTACCCGATCAATGCGTCATACTGCACCTGTAGCTATGGTGAACCTATGTTCCCTTGGTAATATCCGCACTTTCAGCTGCAGTCGTTCGACCAATTTAGGACTAATCAAACTTCTCGAAGCCCCAGTGTCCAAGAGGGCCTCGCAAGGACTCCCCACAAGCTCTACGCGAAGTACCGCCGTCGCACCCGCACATCACAACGCTCCCCCTTGATCGTAAGGCTCTTTCATGCAAGTTTCCCTCCACCAGTGTGGCACAATCTCTGTCGCGTCTGACCTATCTCCGTCTTCTGTCGCCTGTACAGACTTCCTGCTGCTATTCATCGTCGCGTCCGGAGTCTCTTCACTCAGGGTTGACTCTGACCCAGACTCCCACAGCGTTTCCGGAAGCGGCGGAGTCCCTTCCGCGCGCTCGTCGCTCTTATCGGCTCCTCCCGCAGTGCGGAGGAGTTGGTTTCCCATCTCGTGGGAGACTGGAATGGCATTAGGGCCTGTCGCTACCGCACACATCATCCCCTTGCCATGGCTGCGCGGCCTAGAACGCTCGTCTCCACCCACGCCTAGGCCCGCACGTTTGATCGTTCCGTCTTCTCAGTGCTAGGGCAGAGCACAGAGTCACATCCTGAAGGCAAAATGGCAGCAGAAGTACTATGTACAAAGCGCCGAGCAGTGGAGTATGCGGTGGGAGACAAGGTCTGGCTCAGCAGCAAGCACCTACCGCCTTTCAACAGCTGCCCTAACTTCGAGCCCCGTTACCGTGGAACCTTCGAAGTCATCGAACGCATAGGAGCTGTTGCTTACCGTCTCGCTCTGCCTCCCACGTATGCATGCCATGACGTTTTCCACGTTTCGCAGCTAGTTTGTAGTGCCGAGGCACTACAATGGGGCTGACTAGTGTCCTAGGGGTGATAGCAGTGTCGCGG